TCATGGCGAATATGATCACTAAAAAACAATAAAGATCTATAAGTTTACCTTCAAGATCACATCCAAGCACGAGTGGGATCGAAGAAGCTCTTAACAATATTAAAACGATTAACATTACGACAAGTAGTTCTTCCGAATCAATCTGGATGGGCTTAGCTGGCCTGGAGGAGCTCTACGATTGTACGGAGGAGTTTCTGAAAATGGGTTCGACGCAACGTGTTATGTCGTCTAATGGTTCTGAGTTTATGGAGGAGATGCTTGATGGATCTTTGAGGCTAATGCATGTATGCAGCGTCTCAAAAGATCTGATGGTGGAGACTCACGAGCATGTTCGTGGTGTTCAGTCATATGTTAGAAGAAAGAGAGGAGGAGATCAACTCGATGTCGCGGTCTTGGGCTATGTCGGATTCAGAAAGAACATGAGAAAAGAAGCTAAGAAGCTTCTTGCTTCCTTGAAGAAAATCGATGGTGGGTCAAACTTATATGATAATGATCATAAAGATGAACATCTTGTGGTTGTTATAGAGGTCATGAGACGAGTAGTTTCGGTTAGTGTCATGGTATTCAAGTCGTTCTTGGAGTTCTTATCCGGACGACAAAGTAACATTAAGAGCAAGTTGGCTTCAGTACTAAAGAAGAAGAAGGATCATCATGAAGCGACCAAGAACGAGTTGGAGACATTGAATTCCGCGATTTGCCAAGATTTTTTCTCTCGTGATGAGCTATAAAAGAAGCTTGAGGAGGTTGAGATGAGTATTGGTGGGTTCGAGAAGAATCTAGAAGGGTTGTTTCGAAGGTTGATTAGAACAGGAGCCTCGCTTCTCAACATAATCTCTCACTAGATTTTAAATTATGCTTGTAATGTAACCTTCGTAGGCATTCGACTTTAGAGAATTTGCCGGAGGGATACATTATACACAAGATTTTGTACACTAATTCAACAGATATATGTAGAGATAAATTTGTAAAAGTAGATGCAATATTGCAGTTATATACCCATAAATGTTATGAAACACTCTACTTAATTAAGAATCATAGTTCAAAGTGACTAAATTAGTTAGAAAATGATAAAGAGTTAAAAAAAAAAAAAACTATGATAAACCCCGAATCAATGCATCGGAACTTAT